TTGTGAGGGATAGGATTGGCTCTTCCATCTCACAAGTTTGCCGACCCCTGGTCTATGCCATTAACTGAGATGAGAGCAGGACTCAGGAGAAAGAACACCAGGTTTGGAAGACAAGGTTTTAAAATTTGAATTTGAATTAAAGATTTTGAATTCAATTTTGAATGAGTTTGTTTTAGGTTGCTTAATAAATGCCATCTGGTGGAGCTGTCAGGGAAGCAGCTGGATCTTCAGTCCAGCCCTGCATGGAGATGGTGCAGGCTAGATACAGATGAGGTAGCTGTGACTGAGTGGCAGCTGCGGGTCACGGACTGCCCAGAGACAGTCTACAGAGTGAAAAGATGCAGCCTCCCTGTAGAACAGCGAAAAGCCACTGTACAGGGTTTACTGACCACATAAAGCCACCGAACCAAAGGCAAGGTCACAGTAGAGGCCCCGGCCTTCCTTACCTGCTTTCCTTTGAGAAAGACCATTCCCTTCACTTTGGAATCGATATCCTCACCCAGTTGCTCCTTAAGTTCTTTCCAAGCATAACTAATGTTTGGCATTTCAATTGAACACTGCAAGATTATGGTCACAAAGCCCTATGGATGAAAGGGGAACAAAATTAAAGTCTAAAAAACAAACCTAACTGATAAACATCTGCCCTCATGCTTCTAAAATATTTCTGAAAAAGTTCTTCCTAATAAGATATACCTCCCCCAACCACCACACAAATTAGAACAAGTAAAACTGAGGAACTTTGAATAAGATTGCTGGATTGTGCCAATGTCAATTACCCAGTTCAGATATTATAGTTTTGCAAAATGTTACCATTGGGGAACACTGGGAAAAGGGTACATGGGAATCTCTCTATATTATTTCTTACAACTACATGTGAACCTACAATTATCTCAAAATTTCAAAACAAAGGAAACACCTTCTAAAGTCTCTAGGTATTCTGGATAAATGTATTATACACATTTGTATGTGTATGTATTATTTTAGGATTTAAAAAATTGAGATATAATTCACATACCATAAAATTCACCATTTTAAAGTATACGATTCAAGAGTTTTTAGTGTGTTCACAAAATTGGTAACCATCACCACTATCTAAAATTCCAGAACATTTCATCACCCTAAGAAGAATCCCCATGCCCATTAGCAGTCACTGCCATCCCCCTCTTCACTGGAACACTGGCAACCACTAATCTACTTTGTGTCTCTCTGGATTTGTTGACATCTACCTTCATGCAACAGTTACAACTGGGAAGTTTAAATGGAACACTTTCTAATCCTGCTCAAACTCCAAATTATAAAGCATCAGAAATTTCACAGGGACCCTCACCGCACTTGAGTTGATCAAGGAGCGCTGGTCTACTGATGTGGCACCTGAAATATGTGCCAGTGCTGCTGCCAGGGCTTCCACGGCCCCCTTCTCCTCTATCAGTTTCTCAGCTGTCTGCTTAAAGTGACTAATGGCAGTGGGAGGCACAGAGTCCAAAAGCCTACGGTTTGATTAAGAGTATATTTGTTAGGAGAAAAGAATAGGAGAAGTGGACAGATTTCACTTTCAAAACGGCATCTCAAGGTAAATCAGTAACTTTCAGACCACATCTTTAATATGCCTAATGCATCATTTTGATGCAATGTATACAATCATCACATTCCTTTTATTGTATCTAGTTTATCACAAAAAAAAAAAAAAAAGTTTTACCCTAAGGAAATAATAAGACAGATATTTACAAGTTCATCCCAGTGTTATAGCATTCTAAAATGGAACACTTACAAATCAGATTAAAATCATACAAGAAGTCACTATTATCTTGGTGTTAATAAATTTCACATCTCAAAGTTGAAACATCACCCATGACAAGGATGGGCAAGGCTATGCCCAACAGCCTGTTTTGGCAGGGCTGCCCCTCTCAAGACCATATCTCACACCACCAGCACCATTTTTGTCTCTTTTCTGCTTCCTAACCATCTAATTTCCTTAACTGGCATTATAAAAAAACATCTGCAGAATGCTTAAAGCAAAGCACGCCATGCTAAAATAAATTTGAAAAATGCTGAGTTAAATTCTTTACATTTGCAGAACTTTCCCAAGCTATTAACATGCTAATATCCAACCTTTCTTTTTGATCATGAAATCCCCCAGTCTATTTTTTTTTTCAATTGGGAAATTGGGGAAGGGAACCAGCCAAGTTGTTGTTCTTCAATCTTAGTTGTAGAAGGCACCAGTCACCATCTGGCTGCCCGTCAGCAGCTTGTGGTCTCTTAAGCTCAAGGTGCTGTGTTCGATCTTAGTTGCGGGTGTGCATAACCACCATCCCATGAGGGAGTCGAACCAGCAGCCTTGTTGTTAAGAGCGCACGCTCTATCTATTGAGCCATCCAGGCAGCAGCTCAGCTCAAGGTGCCAAGTTCAGTGTTACTTGTGGGTGGGTGTAGCCACCATCCCATGTGGGAGTCGAACCAGCAGCCTTGTTCAGAGCACATGCTCTATCCACTTAGCCATCCACTTAGCCTTCCGGGTGGCAGCTCAGCTCAAGGTGCCAAGTTCAGTCTTAGTTACGGGAGGGTACAGCCCACCATCGAACAGGCAATCTTATTGTTACACCAGCTGAGCCATCCTGCCACCTGTTGGCAGCTCAGCTCGGGCGCAGCATCACTGGCCCATGTGGGAATTGAACCAGCGGCCCTGTTGCTCAGAGCTCTCACTTGTAAGCAAGCTCTTAACCGAGTCACTCGGTCGGCCCTCCCCCCCGTCTATTTTTTTAAACAGCATGTCGTATATTTACAATAGTAATTCTGGAAAACACTAAAAATGATGCTGTTTCTAGTCCTATGCAGGGAACATTTGGAAAATTTCACAATGCAACTCCACTTACCCCCTGGAATACACACTACACAGCCAGGGATGCCAAACAGCTACATATCCTTCAATTTGTAGGATAATCCCACACAATAAAAAATTTTCTTGTTTCCAATGACAACGACCTCCAATGACAAACATTGTTAATCTAATCCTCATTATCTAGATATTTACTATAATTCTAAGAAATAATCAACTCTCATTCTTGATTAATGAAGATTTGGAATATAATCTGTGATCCAGGGGCCGGCCGAGTGGCGCGTTGGTTAAGAACTGGCTTGGGACACCAGAGGGCCCCGGTTTGGATCCCACATATGAGGGCCAGTGACACTGCCCTCTACAGTTAAGATGCTGAACAACAGCTCAACCTGGAGCTGGGCTGCTGTGGGTCGCCAGCGACGGCGTAGGCTGCAGCCCCTGCTGCAGTGAGTTGCCATGGGCTACCGTGTGTAGCCAGCAGCCAGCGTGAGCGGCCGTCCAGAAGCTGGCGACTGATCTGCCTCGCCCGGGAAGAGCGCAATGATGGTGCCAACTTGGGCCAGTGAAGCAACGTCCTTCACAACTAGACTGAAGAACAAAAGGACAGCAACTTATCTGTTCCCTTTCCCCCAATTCCCCAGTGCTGTTCCCATCCCCCAATTCCCCAATAAAAAAAATCTTAAAAAAAAAAAAAATCCAATGTAATCAATCTCCAGATGGGAAGCACCTACACCACATCTAAGATACAGTTCCTTCAACTGCCCAAGACAAATCAAGCTATTAACAGTGGTTCCCTCTGGTGAACAGATTGCGTAAGCATGAGTAGAAATGAGGATTTTTACTTTGTATAATTTTATTTCAGCGGTCTGAGCGCTTTTACAACAACCAGGTTATAAATTATTTTAAATAATGAATAAAGAAAATAAATTTTAAAAGGCCAAGGCTCAAAGACATGCAATAAACAGAATAAGCACTAAAATAGACCACAGTGGTAGTAGGAACATACCTGATGGCATCTTTGCTGGAAGCTTTTATTATCTCTGTTGCAGAAGGAACACCTATTCGTTTAAATTTAATTCCCTACAAGAAAATGAACATAGTTAAATGCACAACATGGCCATCAGTTGTTTCCACTGAGATTAATAGTTCTCTAATTTTTTTATTTACCAAACTTATTTATATATATTTATAAACTTTTTGAGAATGGTTTTAGATTTACAGAGTTCCTATATACCATGCACTAAGTTCCTTATTGTTATTACAATGGTACATTCATCATAACTAAGAAACCCACATTGATACATTACTATGAACTGAACTCCAGAGGCGATTAGAAGCTCACTAGTTTTTCTACTAATATCCTTCTTATGTTCCAATATCCAACCCAGGATATATTATATGCAGTCATGTCTTCTCAGTCTCCTGTGACCTGTGGCAGTTTGTCTTTCCTTGTTTTTCATGACCTGGACGGCTTTAAGAAATCCTGGTCGGGTATTTTGTAGACTATCCCTCAACATGAGGCTGTCTGATACTTTTTACATGCTTAGCCTGGAGTTAAGAGTTTTAAGAAAGAAGACCAGAGGAGAATACCTCTTATCAGAGGTACATGCTTATCACTGATGTCAACCATGATTACCTGGCCAGGTACTGTTTGCCGCTTTCTGCACTATAAAGTTGTCCCCCGACCCCAATTCCTGTTCTATTCTTTGTAAACAAGTCACTGATTGCGGTCCACTCAAGGAGAGATTAAGCTCCACCTCCTGGAGGATGAAGTACCTAAGTAAGAATTTCCTTTTTGTTTTGTTTCAGGCGCACAAACATAGTGATCAGACATTTACACAACTCACAAAGTGATGACCCCAACAAGTCTACTACCCACCCGACACTGTAGTCATTAGAACATTACTGACTCTACTCCCCATGCTGCATTACACATCCCCGTGACTATTTTTTTTTAATTATAGTTGACATTCAATACATAAGAATTTCTTTACAAAAGACTTCTGTAAGGAAAATTAGTCTCTTCTCCCCCATTTTAAAATTTATCCTTCATGCATTCCCATCCTTTTGGTTTTCAAGCAATTCCTATAACCCCCTAATCTGTGCTTAAATATTTTAGATGTGTTCATGTTATCAGTCTGAAAACTGCCTTTCAAATATAAAAACAATCCTTATAGTTATAAATATGAAAACAAAACCATTGCTTTCAAATGCAGTTATTTCAAAAAGGGCTTTATATCGTAGAATAATATATAAAACATGTATCTAACAACAAGCTTTCAGTCATGGTCCCATGCTGGAGGTAAAAATAATTGAAAGCCAATAAAAAAATGTAATAAGGAAACCAAAGAATGATTTAGAACTCAACATTTGCTGAATAGGGCTAAGAAATTAACTTACCGCCCTTTGCTCCACTTGTGATAACTGATACTCTTCCTTGTGCTGGTAAAAACAGATGCAAACCCCTGTCCTTCCAGCTCTACCCGTTCGCCCTGAACGATGAATGTAGGACTCCACATCCTATTGAAGTAAAATATGTGAGTGACACTGTGACACTGAACAACAAGGAGAGCTGAGCAATCTACACAGGCAAGTGGGTGGTTACATATACCAGGGATGTAAGGAGGTTCCTTAGCATTTCAATTTAAATTAAATATCTGACAATTTTTAAAAACCTCTAGAACAATGTCCTCTATCCTGTGGACAAATCTGCAAACGCATCTAAATAGTGCTGTCCAATAGAACCATAATACGTAGTTTCAATCTTTAATTTCCTAGACACCACACTAATAAGTAAAAAAGTTAAATTACTTTTAATATTATTTTATTTAACTCAATATACCCAAAAGTTTTATCAATTCAATATGCTATCTATATAAAACAAGCTATCGAGTAAGATATTTTCTTTTTTCATGTCTTCAAAATCCAGTGTGTATAATAAAAAGTTTAAAATAAAAAACCCTCCAATGTGTATTTTATAGTTATAGCACATGTCGATTCAGACTAGGTACATTCCAAGTGTTCACAGCTACATGTGGCTGTGGCTATCACATTGGACAGCAAAGGTCTGCAGGCTCATTTAAACTGTCTAGGCCACACACTTATGAGACTTCCTTTATAAGAACTGATGACTTCATAGTAATCAGGTATTTTTTCCATCATTGTAAACAACCTTTAATCCTGAGGGATTTGCTAGTTTGGGGGAGGTTACAGGGTCTTCACGCTTGAAGTGATGGAAGCAGGCTCCTTCAGACCAACTTTTATTTATGTACTGTCCACACCACAAAAACTATCATTCAGGGCCCTCCCTGAGAGGTTCCCATCTCCCACAAACCCATGCCATTTCAGCCACAGAGGATGTTAACTACAGGCCTTTTCTCCTTTCTCTATCTTCTAGCTCATGAGTTCATCTATCCTTCCCCCACCCCACGTAAGTCTTACATATGTTCAAAGTCCAGTTCAAAAATCACACTATCTCCATGAAGCCTTACAGGACTCCCCTCTTAACTAGAAGTGATCTTCCCAACCTCTGGCCACTGACCACACTTGCACTAAACTGTCAGTTCTGAGGGGAGTGCCTCACAATAAATTTTTAAAAATCACCCTTAACATCCTAGCATTCAAGAGACTGCTATTATTAATCACATGAAAGTAAATGACACAACTTCCATTTTGTTTTAGTGCCCAAAAGAAACAACAAAATAAAATCAAAGTATAAGCTACTTACCTTTGGAGGAGAACTCTGTATAACCAGGTCAACCTCAGGGATGTCTAACCCACGTGCAGCAACATTGGTTGCCACCAAAACTCCAAAATCACCGTTTCTAAAGCCTTTCAGGGTGATTTCCCTTTGCTTCTGTGGAATGTCGCCATGTAAAGACTGGGCATCCTGCCAAAGAAATAAACTGGCCTAAGAATACCACATCCAACAAACCAGGTACTTTTTAAATCCTGTAAAAGACATTCATATTTTGGTGATACTTCTGCTGAATATAATACAAAGGGGAAAACACGTGTCTTACATGGACAAACCTCAAAACTATTTTCAATCCTTGGTCATTAAATCAATTGTACCCAACTACACTGACAAGGTAAAAACACCAGATAAGAGTGATCAAATCTACTTTGCTGGTGTAACCTTGGGTTTGAGCCACCTTTTCCTTATCTGAGAGGAGACTGACAGATTAGGTGAGCTCTAACATGTATACTCTGATTATTTATTAAAAGATGCATCTTCCCAGGGCCGGCTGAGTGGCTCAGTTGGTTAAGAGCTCGCTCAAGAGTTTGAGCTCTGAGCAACAGCGGTTCGAGTCCAGCCTGAGCTGAGCAGCCGCTGAGCTGCCAACAGGTAGCAGGATGGCTCAGCTAAAAAAAAACACAAAAACAACAAAAAAAAAACTTTCCTTCAAAAGATGCATCTTCCCTAAAGGAAACGGAGAGGAAGGACCAACCTGCTTCATGGACGCATTCTGAGACAGCTCCTGGGCTTCTTTCTTGGTTTCACAGAAGATGATAGTGCGCCCTTGAAAACCACTGTACACTCGGATCACATCCCCAATAACTGCTGCTCTTTGAGTCCAGTGGCACTTGATAGCCAGATGCTTATAGGACAGGGAAAAAAAAATCAACTGAGTAAAGCCTAGCTGGAACACGAAATCACGTGCTCAACACTAATGGTACAGAAGCAATTGTTTAAGCCTGACTAGAGCAGACTGTGCCACCACTGTTTAGAGAAAAAACTAAACCATTAAAGCAGAGAGTCTTTCCCCTTTCTCCAGAGAGCCATCTGGATTCTTTATCTATTTTCTGACATAACCAGGAAAATGTAGGAAAAGAAATACCCTTCAGGTTCCTGCAGGAACTCAAATAACTGACAAGAGAAAAGTTTCTGTATGTTTTGTCCTTTCATCCACTTAAAAATGCAATCAGTAGTCAGTTACTATACACATCTGTTCCTTGGGTGAAATGTATTCATCTAGGTACAGGACCCTAAGATGAAAAACTACATCAACACAAGGCACTCAATTTCTCTGCTTCCCTCTAGTGTTTAAATTCTAGGTGTAATTTCTTTCTGTTTAGCTAAGACAGATTTTGGTTTTAAAAGATTCTGAAATCAGGCTACCAGGTGATGAAATTTAAAAAACAGATACCATTATACAACTCAAAAAGAAATTTATCTTTGCTTGGCTTTTCACACGGATTTATTATTTATCTGAAAAAAAACTTTGTATTTGCTAGTCTTAAAACTATCTGACGGAAAAATTATATACAATTTATTACTATTACTGATCCCAGCAACCAAATGAATCATTTACCTCCACAGTTATTGCCGTTTTCTGAGTCTTTTTCCCAATTAGGTCCACCTGTTCATATGTAGATTTCATGTATTTCTTAGCGACATTAAAAACCCAATGAGGGCAAGTTGCAGAAAAAAGCAACGTTTGGGGATTATCTTCTGAATCTTTGGGGGGGAAAAAAGAGTCAGTACAAATAACCCAAACAAGCCTACATATTATTCCACCTCACCCAATTCTCCCAGGGCCCATCAATACTCCACAGCAACCATTAGGCCAAGCCAGGCATTGAGGACACAAAAATGAAAGGCATAGAGGCAACAGACAAAGAAATACTGCCTAAATAATTTATGTAAAGGATCCTTGAAATAGCAAAAGCACTTTAAATTTATTTTGCTTTCTAACCATTGGCCTTTATGAAGCACAAGGGATATCTGTCCATTATAACAAAACCTACCAACTGGAAAATATCAAATCATTGCATTTTCATATATTTGAAATGGCAGTGTAAGCAGGTAGAACCCTGTTGGGAGAGCAACTTAATGTATATTGAGGAGCATGAACTATTTACCATATTTCCCCATGCATAAGATGCACCCTTTTTCGAAAAATTTGGGGTCTAAAAACTGGGTGCATCTAATACAGTGGTTGTAGATTTTTTTACTTGCATTTCCTGCTTTTTCGCGCTTGTTGTCTTTGCACTCATTGTTTGACACTTGTTACCGGTATATTACTGTAGGTTACGTTTTGCCACGTTCTGCCCAGAAATGGCTCAGAAAAGATTTTCATACAGTGCTGAATTCAAGTTAAAAGTGATCCAGTTTTCAAAAGTGAATGGAAATTGTGCTGCTGGACGTAAGTCTGGTCCTCCTCCAACTTGTCTTGGAGAAAACAGTCCAAGACTAGCTACGGGAAGAAGAAACCCTACTGAAAACGCCATGGCAGAAGAAGTGATTCATCATCAGACACAGATGAGGACAAGCTAATGGTTGGCAGTTTTGACAGTGATGAGTTGTATGAATTTTATGATGAATAAAACTTGAGTTCTATAACTTTGTGTAATACATTTTTTTTCAAATTTCAGGCCCCAAAATTAAGGTACGTTTTATATATGGGAGCGTCTTATACATGGAAAACTACGGTACACCTTTCAACTCAGTAATTTCACTTCTACCCTAAAGAATTCAAATACTGTGGTGTGAAAGGAAGCCATCTGCACAAAAACGTCTGTGAGTGGAATTACTTATATTATCTAAAAATTAAAATACATACATGGAATTAAATCATGGTACACAACCACTTCATGATTATGCCAAATTTTTAAATGTACATTAAGGTTATAATTAACACATACACAAATAGCATGAAGTCAGGATGAAATATACCAAAAGCGAAGTACACTAAACTGGTAGATATGAAATTTTCCTTTTACTTTCCCAAATTTCCCCTATTGTATTGGGGTGTCGGAAAAGTCGTGACGTATTTTTTCTGGTTTTCGTTGCAAAAATGAGTCATGACTTTTCCGACAACCCAATAGTTACGTGATAAATCATGATTTTTTTAAAAAAAATTCTAGTACTCCTGAATAAAATAAGTCACCTCCCAATTTCCCAAGGCATCATATAACTCTTATTGGGTCGTCAGGAAAGTCATGACGCATTTTTGCATTGAAAAACAAAAAAAAATACGTCTTGTATTTCCTGACGACCCAATAGAAGACTACTTAATCACCACCCTTCCTCTGATCTTTTATCAGTTCCTTGAACTTGGGAGTTTACCTTTCTTGTATGCCACACATAAAATCTCTTCCACTTGATCAGCAAAGCCCATATCCAACATCTGGTCAACTTCATCCAGGACCACATGCTTCAGTTTGGTGAGATCTAGCTTGCCATTCTGCAGATGGTCTTTGATACGACCTGGTGTCCCAACCAGGATGTCAATCCCATTCCGCATGCGTTCAACTATAAAGAACAGCAATAAAACACGCTGGGTTTTTAAGTCCTTTTATTAGTCTGGGATACTGATTAAATATGTTTATTCTAAAATATTTATTAATTATACATATAAGGTAACATGCTGAGTATTAAAGATAAAAATACTCAAGGCACTCCTTGATCTAGTGGAAAAAACATGTGACAGTCCAGTGTATTATGTGACATAATAGAAAAATGCACCAGTGGATGGTAGCACCAGGAAATGACTTCTTGGCTAGTGGAAAGTTTTAAGGTTTCACAAAGTGAGAATAAGAATCTCAAAGAAATAGCAACTTTCTATAAGGTAAGGTTTAGGTAGAATGAGACAAGACAGAAGGGTAAATAATACAAGAAGGTATAGAGTCATTCAGGAAAATAAGAGTTCAATATTGCTGGGATGAGATGGTAATAACGCAGCTTTTTAGTGAGTTGCTATAGCAGTCTAGGGATACTAGGCCCTCTACATATATTAGCCAATCCAATCCTCACAACACTCCTGCAGGTTGAGTTTAGTAACCATATTTTACACATGAGCAAACTAAAGTATGGAAAAATCAAGCAGCTTGAACTTAAAAAATCACATAGCTACTCTGTGAGCAGTCTAAAATCAAATCCAGGCCTTTCTGATGCCAAAGCCTACAATCATTCCACCCAAGCTGGAAAGAAATAATCACAGCCTTGTGTGCCAATGCTAAGGCTTTTTTAATGCCTTGAATCCCTTCCTGAATTATGTACCTGCTCTACATAAAACTTCAAGGTCTTAAACTGAGAAAGTAATGGAATACTACAGCACAGGCTACATCATTTGGCCCTTGGGCCCAGAGAAAGCAAGCCTGCTGGCAGCAAAAATGAATCAAGGATGCAAGAGGAGGCAGAGACCCAAAGTCCTTGACAGATAAAAAGAGTAACCTTGAATTCTGACTTTCTAGTTCCAACAGCCCAACTGGACTCTGTCCTCTTGGGTTCATTAAGATATCTGTGCAGTCTTTAGATCAACACAGAAAATATACCATTCTTAGGATTTGACACATCGTCATGTAGGACCATGTTCTTGACCATCTTTAAACAATAATAACAAAAGGAAATCACCACATGATTAGACCAGGTAAAGCTGGATATCAAGATCAGAAGAAATCCAACCAGGGCATCCAACAATGGATGGCAGGTTACTTCCCTCACTTTTGGATTTACTTACTTTGACCTCCATAGGGAGTTCCACCATAAAAACAAGCCACTGCCAACTTTTTTGTGATGTCACTGAAGTCTCTGCTTACTTGATTTGCCAACTCCCTTGTGGGCGCAAGAACCAGTACCTGAAAAGGAAAAACTAATAATTGAATTCAAAGTATTATACAGTACTTGTTCCTTAACAAATTTGGAATTCACCAGAAGATTCAATTCCTCTTAACAAGTATTTTCAAACATCTATTACATGCTTTGCAACATGCTGTGTGTGTGAAAGGATCAAAAATAAAATACGGTTCCTGACAAACCTACTCAAAAGAAAAGCTTGTGATCCTACCAATCAGAAGAAAAGTAGGTGCCCAAATGTATGCTGGTCCAGGAGGACCGCACGAGCAGGCTGAAGGAACTGGGGAAAGTTTCACGGAGCTGCTAGTACTTAAAGAACAGCATCTCAGGAAAGAAACTTGAGCAAGCAGTAATACTGCTGATATTAACATTAGTTAATAATATTTACACTTCTACTGTGTCTCAGGCTCTACTAAATGCTAAATAGGCATTATTCTCATTTAATTCCCACAAGTTATTCACCAAACAATTGTATCAAACAACTGAATTGTAATACCTACAATAACACACAATATATTTCTAAAACCAAAAGGCTAAATAAGAAGAGGCAGAGCCTAGATTAAATCCAGGCAGTCGGGCTCTAAAACCTGTGGTCTGAACCTCTACACCACAATGAATTTGAAGTAGATTGGAAGTCAGACAAGTAAGGCTGGGCCCACAGGGTGAGGGTGTTTGAATCCTTGAGCAGCCTAACTTTGATCCAACAGGACATACAACACGAAACCACTACAGATCCACAAGTAGGGTAACAGCACGACACAAATATGATTTAAGAACAACCTGATACATTCATCCAACAGATATTTACTGAACATCTACTAAGTGCCAGGTGGTATTCTAGGTGCTAGAATAATTCATTTACTACCATATATGTTAAAAGCAGTAAACAAATAAATTAATGGGCATGGACATGAAGGCCAGTAAGCAGTGAGATGGGGCCAGAAATTCAGGTGCAAGAACCCCCAGCCAAGGTGATAACACAGGCATTTCAGTGAGGCAGGAGTCTTGGCCTCTCTGAGGGCCCCTCCTTCTATTCATGGGTCTCTAGTAAAAATCTTTTCTCGGGCTAGCAGAGTGGCTCAGCTGATTAAGAGCTCGCTTGGGAGTGCCAGCTGAGCAGCAGGGCTGTGGTTTGGATCCCACATTGAGGGCCATTGACGCTCGCCCTCTACAGCTAAGATGATGAATAACAGCTCAACCTGGAGCTGGGCTGCTGTGTCGCCAGCAACGGTGTAGGCTGCAAGGGGGCTGCAGTGGGCTGCCATGAGCTACGTGAGTGGCTGGCAGCCAGCATGAGCGGCAGGCAGCCGGTGTGAGCTGCCGGGAGCTCCTGTGAGTGGCCGACCAATGACCGGCGACCGATTGCCTCACCCGGGAAGAACACAATGATCATACCAACATAGGGCAGCGAAGTGACGTCCTCCACAACTAGACTGAAGAACAAAAACAGCAATTTGTCTGTCTGTTCCCCTTCCCCGATTCCCCAACTCTGTTTCCCCTCCCCCCAATTCCCCAATAAAATCTTTTAAAAAAAAGAAAAAGTTTCTCCATTTTTAGCAAAAATAGTCAAAGACACTTAACAAACCTGTGAGCCCCAGGAACATCTAATAGTTTGAAAAGAATATGATGGGGCCCCGAGTGGCGCGATGGTTAAGAGCTGGCTTGGGACGCCAGAGGGCCCCGGTTTGGATCCCACATATGAGGGCCAGTGACACTGCCCTCTACAGTTAAGATGCTGAACAACAGTCAACCTAGAGCTAGGCTGCCGTGAGTCGCCGGCGACGGCACAGGCTGCAGTGAAGCTGCAGTGGGTTGCCATGGGCTACTGTGTGTAGCCAGCAGCCAGCAACTTGTCTGTTCCCCTTCCCCCAATTCCCCAGCGCTGTTCCCATCCCCCCAATTCCCCAATAAAAATCTTTAAAAAAAAAGAAAAGAATATGATGAGCAATACAGGTGATCACCACCATGGGACAGATTACAATATTTAAATATATAGGATGTGTGACCAACACTCTTAAAAGAACTACCCTTATTAAACAATATAAGCTATAATTTTTAAAAAATTACCCTGGTTTATCTGTAGGTCAAGATGTATACAGTAAATACCCAAAAAGACTTTAAGGAGAACCCAATAAAAAAACAATAGGGTATGCAATCATGCCCAAGAGATGTATTTTCCTATAAGGATCTGGAACCGTTGAGGTCCTTGTTAAAGCTAGTTACCTGAGGGGCACGGCCTCTCTTCCGGTCTTGCATTTCTCCCAGAAGTTTTTCAATCAAAGGAATGGCAAAGGAGAATGTCTTCCCAGTTCCTGTCCGCGCCTGCGCAATTAAATCCTTTCCACTATAGACATGGTGAAATGTCTTTGCTTGTATAGGAAACAGGAAGGTCACTCCACGGGCTGTAAATAGATTAACCATTATCTGACACTGCAGTTTTTAAAATACCAGCCATATGGGAGGACCCAAGCATCCCCTTGCTTCTGATCCTGCAGAATTAGGAAATTCTACCTTCTGAGTCAACATCTACAAAGTCACGTTCAAATATATTCTAGTAGTGAAGAATCTGCTTGACTGAAAAGTATCAACAAACTTTAAAGCACCAAATTATAGTAAATAGTTATTTTAAGAGAGTAAGTCACTTGTCATGAAATCTCATCCATAGGTCAGTATAAGCCTGAAAATCAGGTGCTTTGCAGTACAGGCTGTACCATACTTGTTCAGAAAACACCTTGTTGAGCATCTGTGACTACCGAGCTCATTCACAGGCACACTGCTAAGGTGAGTTCTAAGCCAGGCTGCTATCATTAGTCTAGAGATGCCTCAAGAAGGAGAAGAGGTTAAAGAAAGAAAATACTAACATGACATCAACTATTTAATTGCAGCGGCACTATCAATCATTACTTCTGAATATACATATTGTATTGAATCAATTTTAACCATCTGTTTAAGAGGCAGCAAAGAATCATCACTAGTGTAGTTCTATATTGAATATATAGATCTACTTCAATTATTTGGTTGCATACATTGTCCTCCAATAAAAACATGTCCTAATTCATCTCAACAAAAACAGTGGAGTGTTTCCAAATAATATTCTAAATTATACAATATTTCCAAGAATATTACCTTTGAGAAGTTTAATAGTTTCTTCAGATATGGGAAAATTAGAGAAAGCTCCTTCTTTTTGTTCCACAGTTATTTCCTATCAAGCAAAGAACCACAAAAAAAAAAGAAGAAGAAATCAATAACTTTAACCCTACAGTTAATAGAGAAGTCTTTTGAGAAACAAAAGAACCTATTTTAAAAACCTCTCTTCCCAATCAACCAAAAAGACACTTGGAATCTAAATCAAGATCTGAAAAGGAAATATATTGTAATAATCTATAAAACCCTAACAAAAGAAAAATCTGTAGCAAATATATACTGCACATATACTATGTGTGGCTAGTGAAGGCAGATTTAATCTCAACATACTATTAAACAGGTCATCAGCCCTTTTCCACAGCAACATTCTCATATGCATCCATAGAAAATAAGGAACAAACATTCATGATAAAGTGGTTAGTGGCATTATTTAATAGTAAAAGATGTGTATGCCCAACAGAAGAATAATTATGTGAATTTCTAAGTATTTATATGATGATTATGTAGCCATGAAAAAGATTTAATATTTTTATTTAATAATAAAGAAAATAAGTATGTAAAATTAAATATTTAACAAAAGTGGGCAAAATGCTTATATAAAAGTAGGAATGGCACAATACAAGATTGCATATAGTACAATCCTAATCTGGTTTAAAGTAGTTGCATATGTAAAAAGTACTGTAAGGAAACATCAAAATTCAACAGGTTACCTCTATACCTGATAAGTATTTAACCTTTAGTGAATTACTGAATGCAGAAATTCCAGGGAGCCTTCTGATAAATTCTGTATTTCCTAAATTCTCTGGATCACATACTTTTATAATGGGGGGGGGGGGAATGTTAATGTTGATCACCACCTACACCAAACAAAATTATTTATTGGAATTAGGGTTTTTCTTTGATGACTGGGTTTCTGAAAGGTAACAGAATTAGCTTCCAATGCAGACATTTAATCATCCTGTTCAACTCAAATTAATGGCCTAAACAAAGAGATTTATGTGCAATCCAGCAAATACCTTTTCAGTGGTACCACTTAATCATGATTTGTTTGGTGAAATCCCTCAGAGGGAAGCTAGGGCCTATTTGCAAGACTATATCCCTCCTGTTGATTCCTGACATGCAAATAGGTTGTAAGGAGAGATTTTCCCCAAACAAACAGGTCTGCTTACTTCCAAAGGAGGCATTCTGACACTATGCTCAAAGGATCCCCCATGAAGTTCTGATATATCAGATTTCCTCCCATTATTAAATAATATGCAGCAATTACCTACTTATTTATCTGAAACAAAAGATACATTCTACTTATTTAAACTTTACCTTTTATCTGAAACAACAACAAAAGATACATTCTACATATTTAAACTTTACCTGCTCTAACTCACTGTTACTTTCTTCACTGGCAGCTTCCTTGGAGTTGGAGTCAGGTCCAGAATGAAAGATCCCATTCTTCAGTTTGGGGCTTTTCTCTCCCATATCTCCATTCATTTCCTTTTCTTTCTTCAGTTTGGGGCTTTTCTCTCCAATTTCTCCATTCACTTCCTTTTGTTTCTTCATCTTCTTGGGTTTAGGCGCACCTATTTCTTCTTCAGAAGGCTCATTTTTTTTTGCTTTTTTGGTTTTAGAAGCAACACCTTTCTTTTCAGTGGGCTCCTTTGGCTTTTTTACACTTTTGGTTTCAGGAGAAATAATGTCGTCTTGAAGTGGCTCCCCTTTCTTTTTTGCCTTTTTGGATTTAGGAGTATTCATGTCAACTTCAGAAGGCCCTGCATTCTTAACTTTTTTGGCTTTGGGGGAAACAACTTCTTTTTCTTCTGCTGCCTCTTCAGATTTTGCCTTCTTTTTTCTACCTTTCTAAAAAAAAAAAATGAATAAAATACAAACATTGAAAAGAGAATCTTATTCATTTGTATAATACATCAATTTTGGATTATTACAAGGTCACATAATTAAAAGAACACAATGTGGGGGTATTTTTCACCATCCGTACTCTCACCTTACAATAAGGCAAAAATCAAACAGTATGCTTTTTAGCATTATTTCTTAGCTATATGGGGTTAAGTACATATCAGTAATTTCATTAGCTTGGAAGAGAATGCCTCTTGGTAATTATTCAATTCATTCTGGTCAAACAAGTTGTAAAACTGAATTTTCTCAAGGGATTTGGGGTGGCTCGTGGGATGCTCCAACAGGCTCTAAACTAAATACACTATAGCAAGCAATCAAATACAGTTTAATTCTGATAGATTAACAGGTCATATATGTCCACAGATAGATGTTAAGCAGACTTCTTTGCGAGAATTCCTGTACAGGTAAAACAAGAATGCATAATATCTCCCTTGCCTATCTCACAAGTGCAAAAGAATTTACATAGAGACACGTTTTGAACGAAAAAGCTATAAAAACCAACAACCTATCACTCCATGTGTAAAAAAGATGTACCTAACTTGAAGAAGAAGAAAAAAAAGTTACAAGTAAGTGGAATGAGTGAAACCTCAAAACCAAACCAGGCTATGGTTCCTACCTGAAATGTCTGACTTGTCCACTTTTCATATTACTAAAAACTTAATATTACTGAAAACAATTAGGCAGATGTTGCAGCCTGTTAAAAATCTCTCTGGAAGAGCCGCAGCACAATCCCGGAAGTACAAACTATTACACTGAGCTGAAATGTGCCTCCCTGAAACTTCAGGCCTGGCCTCTGCTCTCAAATCATGGATGAAGGGTAACCTCTCCCACATAACCTGTCCTTCAGACACCTGAAAAATAATCTGGTCCCCCACCCAAGACTTCAGTTCTTTCATCCCTTGGTTCCACTAAATGAGAGTGGATTTCCCATCCCCCATGGTCTCTTTTGGAAAACAACTGAGTTTGGTTATGTCCCTCCTAATCTGAGCATCCCACAACTGAATACTGATGCAGAGCAGATAAAGCATTAGTGATGCAGAGCAGGTAAAGCAGGACCACTTCCTCACCATCTTTGAAGACAAGCCTGTGCTGCTTCTGCTTCCTACACCACCAAAAATATTACTGTTGTAAAAACTCCCCATAAGGGCCGGCCGAGTGGCTCAGTTGGTTAAGAGCTCGCTCAAGAGTTTGAGCTCTAAGCAACAGCGGTTCGAGTCTAGCCTGAGCTGAGCAGCCGCTGAGCTGCCAACAGGTAGCAGGATGGCTCAGCTAAAAAAAAAAAACAAAAAAAAAACTCCCCATAAAAAAGACCCAGGAACAACAAGGAAAGAGAATTCTAAGTTGCATACAACACAAATTCAGAGACAATCTTTGATCCGACTGAATTTATATCACAACAGACTCAGTCACAGTTAAATCACTATCTTAAGCAACAGCAGGAGGCTGACAGCTATCAAGGTAATTTAAGGCTACTGAATTCTTCTGGCCTACCTCAAAAATATGGTGTACAGATAGCACCACAGGCGGCTTTACATTTCCACGGGTAATCTGGCCAATAAACATTAAGAGGAACTGAATTACTTCCTCTAAGGGCTGCGTACCAGAAAACAAACCGTACTTCACTTAATAAGAGTAAAAAGAGTGTCACTGCTGACGCCGCCCACGTGTACACGTACAGGTAGATGGGTTCAAGTCTCGCTTGGTCTAGTCTAAAAGTGTCAGTCCCTACCTTGACTTACAATTCCCTCCGCGAACGCACTCGCCTGGAGTTAGGTCTGAGCCTGAGCTGAGCCAAAAAGTGGGGCCTAACCGTGAACTTACAACTCTACGCACCGGGTGCGGGGCGCCCAGACTCCGAGACCACGTGGGACACCCGGCCCTCCCTCCAGTTCCGACCTGTCCGGGCCTCTCGGCCGGACCTCCCCGAGCGCGACAGCGCGCCCACAGCCCGCGGAGACCACCACTCGTGGACGCTCTTTGGCCGAGACCCACGCGGGTCTGCGCACGCGGCCGATTGGCGCTGTAACCCACGCGCTCCGAGCGGGGAACCCCTCCTCTCCCGCACCCTGCGGCCCCGCTCCTCTCAGCGCCCCGGCCTCCCGTCCTGCCCTGCTCTAGGTACCCCGGCCCTCGGTGGCACCTTCTCATTTTGCTTCCGAGGTATCTCCATTTTTCCCATGGCCGTATCAGATTCCAAATCCGCGTCACTACGGAGTTTACCCGGCATCACTCAGCACAGACTGCGTAGACCGACCGATTTCGTCCACCGCGTGGAGAAGAAGAGACCGGAGTAAGCCTCCGGCCCACCCAGCCTTCGTCACTTCCTGTGACGAAAGCCTTTCCCCCCGGAAGCAGAAATCTCCACGAAGGCAGATTCTCCACGTGGTAGTTCTTAAGCACCAGCTGTGCCCACTGCTTGGGCAGTGAATTGACTGCTTACGGCGCCTAAAGCAGAAGATCCCTACGGAACAGTAGAACTGGAAGGAACCACAAAGGTTGGCTTTGTGTTCTCGTTCAAACACTAATCAGATTCTCGCTAGTCCGGGCCCGATAAATACAGACTTGTAGCTTTTGAGTGGCGCCTGTTCGGTACTTTAGATATTGCTCGAGTTTGCAAAATCGTTTCACGCACAGACGAGCGAGATGTGTATTGATTATTTTATCAACATTGAAAGGAAGTGCCCGTATTCATAAGCCTGGTTTAGAACTAGAATTCAGTAGGGTCCGATCGTTCATTCATGCACTCAGCAAACATCCCCTAAGACTAAGTGTTCACCGTGTCACCTGCGACATATAGGGTGAGACTGGTAGGAAATAGACGAGTGTCACTTGTTCTGAAGGCAAACAGAGGCACCCAAAACTGCCTTAGGACCTAAAGGGTTTCCCAAACCACGTAGACCTCCATTAGAAAATACAAGGGCTCTTCGTTTTGAATACTTTGGACAATACACTAATTTGAGCAGTTGAGATAAAGTGGTGCATTGAATGGGCTATAATAATGTTGCTCAACTTCATCTGAGGAACTAGTAATCAAAGAATTGGGAGCCAACTTATCATAAAATCATTTTTTAAAATGGGTTGAAATCATGCCTGGCTTTGAAAACCTGCCCTATTTACTGTGATTTTGGACCTTACTTAGTCTGAACCTGAGTTTCTCATGCATGGAATGGGCGTAACAAAACCTACTTCATCGGTTGAGAAAATTAATGAATGAAAGGGATTTAGCGGAGCACCCCAGTCGGGACCCCGTCTCGTTTTGAGAGCTGTTACTTTCTGCTCTAATAATACTTCCTCTGCTGTAAACTTAAAAAAAAAAATTTAGCAGCACAATAAATGGAAGCTATTGTATTAAAACAGGCGTTTCAAGGTGTTAGAAAGACAATTCAAAATGTGATTATTTATTTTATGACAGGAAAATGCTGTTTTATTTCTGCTACTTCATAAGGTTAGTTTTTACTGCATTCTTAATGACAGTTTAAAGGAAAAATTTCGTGTTTCACAAAAATTATTTGATGTTTCAGTCTCAATTTTTTAACGTATAAATTTAGGTTAATCTACAACAGTGCTTTAACTTATACTTTGTGATATCCTTAAGCCAGGAGCCTTGATTTATCCATTGTTGTATCCTTAAGATTTCAGACGGGGGCTGGCCGAGTGCTCAGTTGGTTAAGAGCTTGCTCAAGAGTGCGAGCTCTGAGTAACAGGATCCCTGGTTGGATTCTCGGCCTGAGCTGAGCTGCCGCTGAGCTACCAACAGGTGGCAGGATGGCTCAGCTAAAAAAAAAAATTTTCAGACAGTGCCTGGCACATAGCCTGTCACTAAATGTTGATCATTAAAATGGCAATGTGGGNGGAGGATGGGGGGGAGGGGAAGGAACCCCTTGAAATAGATTTTAGCTATATACCCAGGCAGGAAAGCAATTCAGTCACCCTGGTATTAGGTTTAAGAGAAGGGGGGGAGGGGAAGGGCAAACGTGAATGCAGTCAACCAACTGATGAACAAAATGCTTAACATCTGAGATTTAAGCACTGCACTGCAGACTTTGGAGTACATAAGTGAAGGACCAGTCCCTGCCTCAAGTTGACAAATGACAGTCTGGTTGATAAACCATAGAACTCCATGATACTGCTGTGTGATACTGCTGTAAACAGTACAAGGAAATTTTTATTACCAACAGATGTTGAGCAAGAGTAAGCCCAGAACATACTAAATGGAAAACTGTTGTCAAGGCTTATAAAGTATGTAAGTTCCTTTTTAACATAGGCACAAGGCCAAAATTCTAAGAGAAAGCATGCAAAAGGCCCTTTCTGGCTCAGAGGTGCCCAAATTAATGTACTGAATCGAGTCATCAGTGTAAAACTTAGTAATAAGTAGAAAAAATGACTCACATACATTCTATAGAAATGTGAAGTTCTGCTTGAAATATTACCTATGCCAGACTAGTTTCCTCTGATGTAGATGATGTCATACATTTTCAAAAAATTAGGGGAGAATGTTTCACAAAGTATGTATATGTACATGCACACACACAGTGAATTCAAAAGTTTACACAACAGGGCCGGCCGAGTGGCTCAGTTGGTTAAGAGTGAGAACTCTGAGCAACAGGGTCACTGGTTCGATTCCCACATGGGCCTGTGAGCTGCGCCCAAGCTGAGCTGCTGCTGAGCTGCCAACAGGTGGCAGGATGGCTCAGCTGGTGAGAGCACATGCTCCTAACAAGGTTGCAGGTTCACTCCTGCATGAGATGGTGGACTACGCCTACCCGCAACTAAGATTGAACACGGCACCTTGAGCTGAGCGGCCTGAGCTGCCGACGGGCGGCCGGATGGCGACTGAACTTGGAGCTGAGCTAGCTGCGCCCTCCACAACTAAGACTGAAGGACAACAACTTGGCTGTTCCCATTCCCCAATTTCCCAACACTGTTCCTCTCCCCCAATTCTCCAATTAAAGAAAAAAACAAACAAACAAAAAAAAGTTTACACAACAAAATGTTTGCAGTAATTATCTCCCAGTGATGTGATGGGGCAGGGGTACTTTTTTCCATTTCTCTATTTTTTTTTAAATTTTCAACAATGGATATATAATACTAATATTTTAAAAATATGATTTTAAAAATTATTGTTAAGCACTACCCCCAAATACATGAAACAAAAACAATGTGAGAGAAGGCTGAAGATCAGGACACTGGGAACTAATATAAAATACTGAATGTCAACTGTAATTAAAAAATTAAAATTAAAACACCCCCCCACACACCCAAATAAATAAATAAATAACCAGAAGATCAGGGCAACTAATTCAAGTTCAAATACTTAAGTGACCACACTAGGGCAGTACACCAAACTGGAGGCTCTAAGTTGCCAAAAGGTGGTGCCATGAAGAAGTAAAGATAAGTGGCTCTATGAGGAAGAAGTAAAGATAAGTGGTAGGATGCAAGCCCCAAAGTTGAGAATTTGGTGAGGAATGTGCCCTGTCCCCCTTCTTCTTCCAAAAGATATGGAAAGCTATTACTTAATCTTGTTATTATCTACCCCACTTTCCTTGCTAATAGGGAAGACAGCCTTTAGCAAGTGGACCCCTTAAATCCATGTCCACCCTGCTAGCGTTTACCTACATGCTTATCTTTTTCACTGTCTTTCCTGAAACGTTTCAGTGGCTGGCTGTCCAAAACAAGGGCTAGGATGCCTTCCAAATAGGACTTGTGCCGTGTTTGCACCACTGCTTTCCTCATAGTGAAGATCCCAGCAACAAGAGCTACTTATCATTCATCATACTTAGACCTATATTTTACCTGACTTACGAGTAATTCATGTGCAAACAGCATGTCCAAAATCTTTCTGGGCTGGGCTGGGCTAGGTGCCCTGTGCAGAGTTCTCAAATCATTGCACTTAGTCATTGCCATGGACCTAACTTTATATGTGTCCAACTATGTCACTAGATTCTGAGCTCCTGGGGGCAGAGACTGGGCACTCCTTACCTTTGTAACACAAACATTATAGATACACAACATATTCTGACTCATTTACCTAGAAATGTAGCCCCTATTTCATCTTAGGTATAAATCCAGAGCTCATAATTATTCAAATGAGAGCGAACTGAGATTTTTGCCCCTGACATTTAGGTATAGCTATCTGGAGCCCCATTCCCCATGATCAAAGCACTCCTTTCTCAGTCTAGCACTGAGTCCTTCCTCCCAACTTGGCTTCACTGAAATCTTGCTCTTCCTGAATACTCCCCTGCAGCTTTCTCACATTTCTCGTTCCCTCACATCCCATGTACCTTGCCTGGTGTCATGTGTCCTTTTCCTCTAAACCATTTCTAAACTACTCCTTTTTCATCTTCATGTAAATGCCCTTGTCCCTATGAAGATATGTGGTATTATCACACTATACCCCTCCTAATTCAGGTAATTTACTAACTTCACCATTCACTGATATATGGACATCTGTCTTAGTCTTCCTCTCCCTCCTCACTCCTGGTTTGTCTTCATTCTAGACTTCATTGCCCATGAAAACCACCCAACACATGGCTTCTCAGTGCTTTGGCTACCCCAACTGAAATAACCTTTGCCCCCAACAGGCCCACTACCACACCCTGCACCTGTCTTCCCAACTGCTCCATTCTTGAAATCTCAAATTCAGACATCCCTCACTGACCTTCAGCCCCTTGGCCCCTTTACACTCTCCCTGCCATCAACCCCATCTTCACTTCAATCCCTAGCAGTCTGCACTCCATGGACCAGTACACTTCAATCACTTTTGCTGCATCCTTAACATTTTCACCTTGTCATCCTTTCATCTCACAGAGCAAAACCCTAATCCTGGATCAATCAACTGTCTCCCGTCTCCATTCCTACAACAGAATGCTGAGTGTTGCTATAGGAAATCATTCAATCACCGCCGCTGCTGCCACTATAAATTCAGTCTCTAAGCTGGACCCTCAAAGCTACCTGTGACCCCGTTTGCCTAGCGAGTTTTTCCCCTTGTCCTACAGTTGATAGCTCAGCATTTCTCCACTTGCCTCAAACCTCCTAGCCTACTACCTTCTCCCTTTCTGGCTCCTTCCTGTATTATTACAACTTGCTCAAATTTCCCTCATCTCCTCCCACCCCCAAAACACACACACACACACACACACACACTTCTCAACTGTAATCTCATGTCCTTTCTTCTACTCCCAGCTTTAGCTTACTTATTCTTCCCTATTTACAGCCAAATTTCTGGAAGACATGTTCGTGTTTGTTGTCCCTACTTCTTTATTTCCCACTTCCTGCTGAATCCACTAAGTGGCTTCTACTCTCAATACTCTATTAATATGGTTGCTCTTCATGTCAAATGTCTCTTTGTGCCCAATCCAGTGGCCATTTCAGGCTTGTCTTCTGGTTCCTTTTGAAAGCCTCATACTTCTGGGCTGCCTTCTTATCCCTTCTCAATGGGATCCCCTTTCCTCTGCTATGCAGAAAATACACTGGTATGCCTCTGAGCTCCCTTCCCAGTCCTCTATTCTTACTATATACTTTCCCTGGATAATCTCATCTACTACCTTAACAAAATTACCATTTTTTTATTAATCCCAAATTTTTAGAACAGGTTTCTCTCCTGCTTCAGACTACCTACAACTGACTACTATTTCTCTCTTCTTACATACCGTATATCATGGGCTACTCAATATTAAAATACCATGGGTGCCAAAAATATGTATACAAGTGGACACTTTGGTCAACGTTGCTCAAGCAGTAGTCTGCCGTAATCAGAAGTGTCTGGACGCTGATGGTAACCACTTTGACCACCTCTTGTAATTGCAGAAGTCAAACGTGACTTGTATTCATCTTTTGTTATCAGTATATATTATTACTATTTTAGTATTTTCCTTTCTTAAAATGTGTATACATTTTTTTTGCACCCCGTTATCTAATCCTGAACTAATCCCATTCCCACTCTCTCACCACATAGCTTTTCTTGCTTTGTCCTAGTAGCTTATCATAGTGACAAAAATCGAGGTTTCATTCTTCTGCCTTTCTCATGTCCAATTCAAAGCACTAAGTCCTAACAATTCTATCTAAAAACTTCTGAAATCTATCCATGTTTCTCAATGTCCACTGCCACTATTTAGCATAGTGGTTAAGAATGCTGGTTCAGAAGCTAGACTTATCTTGGTACAAGTCCGCACTCCACAAATGTATTATCCAGTTGTGTGGTTCTGGACAAGCAAAAGCCTCTCAAGTGCCTCAGTTCTCATCACTCAACATATTGTTACCTATCATTAGCCAGACCATCATCACCTCTACCTTAGATTACTCTGACAATATCTTAGGTCTACTGGCCTCCAGTCTGGCCCTTCTGCAATCTAGTTCCTTGGTGTAGCCAATGATCTAAAACATAAATCTCATCATGTTAATCCTCACTTTAAATCCTTTAATGGTTCCCACTGTCTTCAAAAGAATGTTTAAACTCCTTAACAGTGCACACAGGCCTTTATTTAAACTCTGGTCCCTGTTAAATATTAACTCCTTATCTCTCTAATTCCTGTTCTCTGCCTGTCACATGCAAACCACACTGAACTAACTGTAGGTCCTTAGACTTACCATGCTATTCTTTGCCTCTGGATCTCTGCATATGCTGTTCTTTATGCCTGCAAAGCCTCTCCCTTTTAACTCCTCTTCCCACCATACACATATACCTGGCTAGATCAACTGATACTTTTGCTTTACTTCTCCTTGTGGGCATCATTTCTTCTGAAAGCCTTCCTAACTCCTAAGGCTGGGTAGGCAGACCCCAACTGTCCTTAGCATTTCATACCTACTTCATCTTAGCCTTTAGGTGTTCATCTCATTCATAATTGCTTGCTTGTCTTTAGCCTGTAAGCTCCTTGAAGACAGTGAGCATGCCTTGTTCACCACTCTATCCCTAGTGATTAGTACAGTGATGAGCACAGTGGACAGTCAGCCAATACCAGTGGAATAAATTATCGAGTGTGCACTGCTTGCACACCCTTTTAATTAACTATCTCTAGAATTTAAAATGCTACCCCTAACCAGTCATGTCACCAGTTTATACAGCCCTTTAATGTAGAAGGGATTTCTTATTTTCTACCATATATCCTATGGAAGAAATAGTCTGAATACAAATATACCACATTTTATAAAATGCAAGTAACCTTAAGTATGATTAACTTGACTGCTATATTTTAGAAAAAGTTTTAAAAGATTACATTGAGGGAAATTCTTAACACATAGTGAAAAGAGACAATAAAAGGAGGTTTTTATATTCAAAGGTAAAACTGCATATGTAGATTTGTTTACAACCATTCTTGTGAAATACTTTTTAAAAAAATACGACCAACTTCTTTGCAAATAGCAGACACATACCTCAACTATGATGACCTAATTTTTGATGGATAATGCACATGATTAGGCAGAAATAGGCAAGCTCACACTGGTAGATTAACTACCAAATTCTCAGTTAAAACTCCGTTTGTGGCCCCCGCTTCTTGATCGATTTCTATTCCCACTTCGTCTTCTACCATCTTGTCGACTTCCTGAGCGATTCCCCTGTCGACTCTGTCTACCTGACCGTCCACTGGATCGACCACCTGACCGGCCAGACCGGCCCCTTGACCAGCCACTCCTCTGTCTGGAATTAGAGGATGTGTTTCCATCATAATATTCTTCAATTTCAGGTAACTTGGCTGGCACTGAGAGTATCCAGTCTGAATCGTGCCACTCTGCCTGTTGGGGGGATTTACAGAATTAAAATAAATGCAAAGTAGAAACCATAAGCAAGCACGTAAGTATAGAAGACTCTTTTATCATATGTCTATTAGCTAAAGGCCATCTATCTGTTAAATTCAAAGTATCTGGGACAAAATTGAAAACCAAGAAAAAAAATATTCAAAGCACATTCACTAAAGCTCTTAAGTTTTCCTTTCAGGAGAAACTCTCAGGCTCATTTTGAGATTCTAAATTCATACTCAGTTTACATATTCTGAAAGAGCACTAGTTTCTCTGCACAAAACAAATAATAAGTAGTGCATTGCTTTCAGCAGGTATAGTGACAGAAACAAGAAGTGAGAGCTGATGATGGAGATTAAAAACCTGTCAACACCAGAGGGGGACTGAAAAATGTAGCCATTGGAAACACTCACTATCAGGGTAAACAACTCAACATACAAAAATCAGCAGCTCATAAGAGCACCGCAGTGTCATATCCTGCTACATTAACTGTTCTTCATTGTGACCATGAGTTACCAAGGAAAGTTACTATTAAAATGCCTTGTTGGTAAGAGTGAGCAAAGACAAACACCCACACACACCACTGGTGCCAATATCTGACCAAAGCCTTAAAAAATGTGCAAACCTTTGGGCCCAGCAGTCATGTTAAAAAAACTCATCTAAAGAGATAAACATGGCAATGTAAAGAGTTAGCTACACCAACATTCAGGGCTGACCTGTTTATAATAGTATATTACTGAAAATAATCTAAATGTCCGAAAATAGAACATAGATTAAGTTGGCCCACCCATATGGCCAAATGCCAGGAAGCCATTAAAAATAAGTAACCCTAAGGGCTGGCCGAGTGGCTCAGTTGGTTAAGAGCTCGCTCAAGAGTTTGATCTCTGAGCAACTGCAGTTCAAGTCCAGCCCGAGCTGAGCAGCCGCTGAGCTGCCAACAGGTGGCAGGATGGCTCAGCTAAATAAATAAATAAATAAATAAAATAAGTAACCCTATATAGTTGACACAGAAATGTATTCACAATATAGTCTGAATTTTTTAAAAGACTTAAAAAACATGGGCTGGCCAAGTGGCTCAGTTGGTTAAGAGCTCGCTCAAGAGTGCGAGCTCTGAGCAACAGCAGTTCGATTCCCGGCCCAAGCTGAGTTGCTGCTGAGCTGCCAACCGGTGGCAGGATGGCTCAGCTAAAATAAAAAAAAATTTTTTTTAATATTTAAAAAACAATAATCTCCTTGTTTCAAATTATATAAATATGCATTGGGAAGCAATAGACAAATGCTATACTGTAGGAATCTAGTGGACAATCTCTTTCTTCAACATAAAATACAAGAAAAATATTTTTTAAAAGAGAAAGGAGGGTGAACCTAAAGATGAAAAGAAACTTAAGAAACATCAAATTACAATGTATGAACCTTATGGACCTTATATCTAAAAATATTTGGAAGACAATAGGGGAAATTTAAACACAAGTTGGATAATATTATGGAATTATTATTTTGGGGGGTTGATTATGGTATTATGATTGTTTTTAAGTTTCCTTAATATTTATGGAAATATTTATGGTTGAAATGATACAATGCCTAGAATTTGTTTCAAAACAAATATAGGAGAGTGGGGAAGTAGATAGAAGTAGACATAAAACAAAATTGGCCTTGAGTTGATTGATAATTGTTGAAGCTAAGTGATGGGAATATGAGGATTTACTGTGCAATTCTATTTTTTTATGTTTGAGACTATAATGAAAATTGTTTTAAATTATGTAAATTGGATATTTTTACATTAAGGAATTATTGACTTAGGCATGATAATAATATTGTGACTGATTTTTTTAAATCCCTATCTTTTAAAGAAACATATTTAGCTATTTAACAGATAAAATTTTTAAAATACCTGTAACCTTTCTGACTCGGTTGTGGGAACATCAAAGCAAACACCCTAAAAGCAAAATTAAAACATTTTTATTAAGATGCATATGAGTTAATTTCTAACTAATACATTAATACTTGCTGGTAATCTTATATTAGCTAAAAAAAAGATTAGGTATGTCCCAGGACACACCTTATAGGATTAAAACTAATACATAACACATGACAGAGTGACTGCTTATTATATTTTCTAAATCTGAAAAGTACCTAAACACAGTATCTAATAAGAAAATACTGCACTAAAAATCTAGATAGAAAAATTTTTGTAGACACTATAATGTTATTCCATGCCTCTTGTAAAATGATCCATCTAATAAATTCCTTTAAAAATTTAGTGCCAGAAAGTTTCTCTCCTGAAAAGCTGCAATGCTTATCAGATAATGAGAATAATGTAACCCAAGATGTTTCCTCTTCAGTCATAGTTTCCAAGAAATTGAAAGTTAATAAAATACTCAAGTGTAGCAATTAATTTAGCCTAAGAATATATTTCCACACCCCCACACACACATTTTTTCTGAATATGTCTATTTGTCTCATACTTCCCACAAATCTTTTTTGAAGGAAAGTAATATTAAACTTTGAGAGAGGTAATTATTTCCAATAAACAATCTAGTTAATAAATTCTAGGCCAGAACGAACCTCTATAGTAAAGTCAGACAAATAAATATAACACCTTTTCTTAAAACTATTAGAATAAATCAGTCACTAAGATTACAAACGGTTTTAACTTATCTGTTTTGTAAATGTATTAAACTTAATTCACTTCATTATCCTCATTAACAACCAATAGCAGATCACTCAAAAAACAATATTGTGTATTACCTAAATAATAGAGTTGTTTAGCTGTTGCAATCCTAAGTTCCTTAGAGAACAAACACATACAACCACACATAACAAGTATACAAGGACAGAAATTTAAATAATTTGGGTCTTAGTCAAACTAAGCAGAATAACTTACAGCTTTTTAGAGGACTGGGTTATTTATATAACTCCCTAAAAATTTACAAGTGGAAACACACGGAGAAAACAATACTATTCATCCCATTAGACTTCAAAAAAAGAGAGAAGGAACAAAACCTACTAGTCTTTATAAACATTTGCAGTAGTTGATTAAAAATCTTTACTTATCTAGAAAAGCCTACCATATTTCCTTTTAGGAGGCATATTCTGGTAATTTGGGACACAGAATTACTACTCAGCTTTCTGTTCAGTTCTTTCCAAGCACAGCTGACATCCTGTATTTCTTCTGGGCTTTCCAGAGTCATGGTCACAAACCCCTTAAGGAATAAAAGTCACATTATGGTTGGGAAAAAAGCAGCAGGACAATGAAGTTCTAATTCTATAGCCCTTCATGACGCAACCGTGCATTTATGAACCAACAGTATAGCATGACTGCTAAAAAAAAAATTCTTTGAAACTATATTAATAGAAGACTAGCGTTTATAAGTCACTGAAGGTACCATTCTTTTATATGCATTGCTATAAAGACTATATTTAACCATTATGCTTTAAGAGATAATTAAACTAGAGCATCAGACAAAAGATAAGGTAGTGAAGAATTAAGGAAGTCAGTTCTGAAAGAGTCCAAGTTACCTTGGAGTAGAAAAACAAGAGGACACAGACCTCTTTAAACTTTTGAGGGCCAGTTGCATAAGCAAAAATTACTTGTTCTGTAAGAATTCACTGGACAGCAAAAAGATCAACATGAAGATACATGAAGGCACTCATCTAACAAGTATTTGAGTGCCCACTATGTATGTGCCAGAGACTCTACTAGGTGCTCGAGATTCAGCAGTAAATAATCCTTCCTCTCATGGAGATTACATTGTAGTGCAAGGGTCGGCAAACTGTGGTTCACGAGCCACATGCAGCTCTTTGGGTACGTATATGTGAGCAATTTTTTGTGTGAATTTTTCTTATTTTAATAGATACAATTAATACTATTACTTGTTAAGGCCAGCCGAGTGGCTTGTTGGTTAAGAGTTGGCTTGGGAGCACGAGCTCTGAGCAACAGGGCCGCTGGTTCGGATCCCACATGGGCCAGTGATGCTGCACCCTCTACAGCTAAGATAGTGAACAACAGCTCGACCTGGAGCTGGGATGCCGTGAGTCGCCGGCGATGTCGTAGGCTGCAGTGGGGCTGCAGTGGGCTGCCGTAAACTACCGTGAGCGGCCAGCAGCGGGCGTGATCTTTCGTGAGCTGCCATGAGCAGCCGGTCAATGGCCGGTGACCAATCTGCCTCAGCCAGGAAGAGCGCAATGATCACAATACCAACATGGGCCAGTGAAGCGACGTCCTCCACAACTAGACTGAAGAACAAAAGGACAGCAACTTGTCTGTTCCCCTTCCCTGATTCCCCAATGCTGTTCCCTCCCCCAATTCCCCAATAAAATCTTAAAAAAAAAAATTAACTATTACTTGTTATAATATTACTTTAAATTTTCCTTATTTGTAAAAATATATTTATGGCTCTTGAGTAATTTTTAAATTGTTGTGAAGGACAGGATTGGCTCTTCCATCTCAAAAGTTTGCCGAGCCCTGTTCTAGTGTATGTGTGTATGCGGGGGGCTGTGGAAAGATAAAGTAGACAGTAAACAAGAAAAAATATAGAATGTCAGATAGTAATAAGCATAATGAAGAAAAATAAGCGGGGCAAGGGAATAGAGAGTAAAGGGAGGGGTAAGCTATAGTAAGGTGTCAAGAAAGACCTCTTTGATATGGTGATATTTGAGGAGAGACCTAAATTACGTGAAGGAAGAAGCCGTGTTCTTAAAAGGGAAGAATATTTAAAACAGTACAAGTAAGTATAATGGCCTTGTGCAGCAGTGGGTTTATGTTTGAGTAACAGCAGGTAGGTTAGGGTGGCTGAAACAAGCAAGCGGACAGTGATAAAAGACGAGGCCAGAAGGGTAGCAAGGGGAAGACCGTATAGTAGATTCATGGTAAAGACTTAGTATTTTGGTTTAACCCATGAAAGACATTTCAAACCACTAACACCCTATTTCTAAGATATTTTAATCAGAGGTTGGATGACCCATCTGCCAAAGAGGGATTCTTTTATTAGATAAGGGTTAGGACTAAATGACCTGTTAGGTACGTCTTAGCTCTAAAGGTCTATCTTAATATTTTCATAAGTATTTGGTGGGTTATTAGGGATAGGATATTTTCTCAGTGCTAAAGTATCACCCCACAGACCACTTACTAGTTACAGACAGTAAACTATACCTTTACAATGGGAATATAGGGCAGTTTCCATCTTAAACAAGCAATCACACTAAACTTTACTACGATACACTGAAACAATCTGCAATATATGCCTCCTGATGTGATGCAAAATGAAGTACATAGCACCACCTAAGAAGTATTCTTGCCAAAGCTGTTTAACCTGAATATAAAATCAAGCTTTCATATTACTTCCAGTTTATAGGAAAGACTGAATAAAGGCAAAAGTTAAATGATGTGTGAAGAGAAAGCCAGACAAACCCAGAAGGTGAGATATTCTAGACTCTTATCTAGACAACTGATCTAGAATCTTCAAAAAATCAATAAAGATGGGAAAACGGTTCCAGATTAAAAAACAGACATAAACAATTATAACATATAAACCTTAATTGGGTCCAAATTTTTAAAGAAGATATATATGGGTGGGGGAGAGGAAGGAAGGGAGGGAGGAGAAGGGTGATGGGGAGGCAGAAAAGGAGAGATTGAGTTTGACACATTAAGTCACTCTCAGCAAAATGACATTTGGCTAAACCATTAACACCTGCCAGGTGGAAAACATCAGATGACCCAGTTGCACTCATTTCTGCTATACCAAATAAGTCATATGTTTACCCGCCCTGCACTTTTTGTTCCACTCTCCCAGTAACTCTCTCTCATTTTTGATGGGTGCCCTCACCCAGTGACTCCCCTCACTTATACCATAGCCAGTAATAAATCTTTGAACTACTTGCAACCAATGGCTGTGATGTGGTTGTTTTGATATCTGATACCAAGCAGGTCAGATGATGTTATTTATACACACACACACACACACACACCACCCCCTCCACATATACAGGCAATCCTTACTTTGCATGGTACTATGTTAAGTGTGCAGTCTACTTCTCGATTTGCATGGTACTATAGCAACTTACAAAATGTAGAATAGGTCTGGTATGCAAGTTTTAGTTAACATACCGCTGTGCAAAGTGAAGGTTTGCTGAATTTCTCTCCAGGTAGACAGATATGTATGGTTCGATTTTAATCTTAAGCCCATACAATTTTTTCACAGATTTCTACCTTGTCAGAGGTGATCAAAGATCGTGGTTCAAAGTTTGATGCACCAGAGATGTGAGCTAATGCTGCAGCCAATGCATCCACTGCCCCTTTCTCTTCTATTAGTTTCTGAGCTGATGGTCGGAAAAAATCAATAGCAGCATAAGAAACGGAAGCCAGAGACCTATGGTTTAAAAACAGCAAGTTTTCTTAGTCAACACAAAAGGAAAAAATTAAAGATTAGACAATGAATGGGAAAAGAAAGAGCAACGTTTCTTTATTTTAATATAACTAAATGTCTGGTAAAACTCGTGATTACATTTTCTGATATTTGAACTAGGCGAGCTTAAAGATGAACAGCCTAATAATACAAAAGAAAAAATTATTCAGCAAGGTCAGAAAGCATACCTGATAGCATCCATGCTTTTAGATTTAACTAAATCCATTGTAGAAGGAACACCTACACGTTTAAAAGTAATTCCCTGAAAATGAAAGAATTATATTAAAGAAAAATGGAAGTCTTTACAATTAATTCCTAAATTAATATAGTTTGTTGAATTTCCACTTCTTGGACTTAAAGATTTCCAAGCCCTAGCAGATCAAAAGCTCTGCTTTTTCTAATAAATGATCAATTACAAAATATAGAAAGAGAAAAAAGATTTTCTGAATTAGTTACATTTTCTGAATTTAGCCCCTTGGTTACAATCATGGAATTTTACTTGCAAAATAAAACTGATTCAAAAAAAGGAAAAAGATGCTATTTACATCTATCAAATTTTTATTACCCTATTTCATTTACGAAGTATAAGAATAGTGTATAAAAACACATCATAAAAATGGGAAAAAATGTTAAATACCACAAAAAAACCAGACCACAAAAAATGTATAATTTCTTATAGAAACTGACCATTGTACCATTACTCAATATAACCTTAACTATTACACCAAGACAATGTCACAGTCACACATTTACAATGCTGGACTAAGAGGTACTGAAATCACAATGCACTTCCGATTTTAGTATCAAGAGAGAAGTTCAAGGGAAAAATGAGAAATTCAGCTCTTCTGTCTTCACAATAAAAGCTGTATTAAAATAAAATTGCAGCTAATATAAACTTAGCTCTCCACATCCTTCACATCCAAATGCAGCTTAAACTGAGAAAAGTTACAAAAATCTATTTGAGAGAACATAAAAAGAACTCTTTTCTAAGGCACCATTTAGATAATAAGCCTGAAATAATTTAACGCTATTTTACTTACTGCTTTTTGTTCCACATATCTTAGTTGACCTCTTTCCCTTGGTTGATAAAAACATATGCAAATCCCTGTCCGGCCAGCTCTACCTGTGCGTCCAGAGCGATGAATATAGGACTCAACATCCTAAAAATAAAATAGGATACTTTAAAAAAATGTAGCAAGTTATACAGACATGCCACATTCCAGCATCAAAATAATAATGGTAATAACTACTACTATCAATAATAATAATATTTTCATTTCAATCCTGTTGTTCTTTTCAATATCCCAAAGAATTTTTATGCAGAATTTTGGGATAAAGGGGAAATGATTAAAAACCTTTTTATCCACCTCCTCCCAGGACTCTTAATATGGCAACTTTTTATAATTCCCTTACATGAATCTATGCTTTAATCCACATAATGAAGGTAGTAATTTGCAAAGGCATCAGATTCCGATCACTTTAACACCACCAACACACTAACAAAAAATGGCTAAGGGCAAGAACAGATAACATTTTTCATATCCCAAGCAATATCTTGTAAATAAAATGGCAGTTTATACAACTGCTCTTCTTTTCCCCAAATCAAATCTCATTTCCTACCTGTGGAGGAGAACTCTGAATCACCAGGTCGACTTCAGGAATGTCCAAACCACGGGCAGCCACATTGGTTGCCACCAAAACTTTAAAACTACCTTCTCTGAAGCCTTTCAGTGTGATTTCTCTCTGTGACTGTGCGATGTCCCCATGTAAACACTGGGCATTCTATTTGAAAAAAAGGAAAAGTATACAGCTCATACTTAAAATTGATAGCACCCTACCACCATACAGTCTGTGTTCTCTGTTGTTTTTTAATCTTATTTTCTGATAATTACAACACTTGCTTACTGTTCAAAAAATTCAAACATTACAGAAAATATTTAACATAAAATGTAAAAGCTTCCTTTAGTATCAGCCTGCTAATAATTCACTGCTAACAGTGTGGTAAATATCCCTCCAGATATTTTTTTCATTTTTTTCTTTTTGTTTTGCCAGATACTAAAAAAAACCCAAAAAACCACACACACTTCTCACATATACTAGCACATAATTGTATGTATTTACTTATAAAAAGGGGATCATACTATGTATGTACTGTTTTGTAACCTGTTTTATAAATTATCTTAGTCATTTTCCCACATCTATAGATATAACGGCTTAATTTTTTAAAACTATATATGATTTCTTCACATGGATGCAGTATTATTTACTTCAGGAATATCTTACTGATGAACATTTGGGTTGTATTCAAATGTTGACAGTCAGAAACAATGATAGAGTGAACAACATTGTATTTATATCTCTGGACCCCTCAGTATACGTATATTTCAGTAGGATACATATCTATAAGTTGAATTTCTGGGTCAAAAATTATGAGCATTTACCATTTTGATAGGTATTGCAAAACTACATTATAAAAAAAGAGGTTGTACCCATTTACTTTTCAACATTCTATGAGTATTTAATCATTCCCTACCTACCCAATTATGAATCATTATATCCTTGTGAATTTAACAGGCAAAAATGATTTCCCAATGTTGTTTTAATTTACATTTCTGTAATTTTTAGTGAAGTTGAACCTATTTTTATTATTTGTATGTTTATCTTCCCTTTGTGCTGCAAATAATCTACCTAGTATTGTAAATAAATATCCCAGGATTACTGGCCAGCATTAAAATTTTAAAGTTCCCAACAGTGTCTAAACCTTTGTATCTAAGCCTAATGCAGTCAACTCTGAGTTAATTCACTGGGAACTTGCTGTGCACCAGGCATATATGCCCGGTTCTGGAACAATCATAAAGAAACAGCCCTAAGACACAAGCTGATCAGCATTTTCAATACAGTGTGATATATGCTGTTACAAGGTGCAGGATGCTATAGGAATACCTAGGACAGGAACCTATCTCAATCTTGTTTGAGGGGGAAGTAGCACTGAAGCTGAGACCTGACACATAAGGAACCAGTAGTAAGGAGCAGGAAGCTAGGGAGTTCCAGGCAGAAAAAATATACATACATAGTGTATCTTGCAAACTACAAATATTTGAGTATTGCTAAAGAAAGCATACAGTAAAAAGGAGAAGTGGTGAAAGATGAGGCTGAAATAAATATGAATTTTATCCTGAGGACAATATGAAACAATTGAATGATGTAAGAAGATTATCATGAACATGTTTGCATTGTAGAAGGATCACTCTGGCTACAATGTACAGACTGTATTAGAAATGGGCAAGACAAAAGTGGAAATTCAAAAGAGATATCAGTGGCCTCACCAAGGCAGTGCCAATGGCCATCTATTGAGTCAACAAATATTTAGTAATCTACAATACAATATGTTGGGCACTAGGGATAAAATGGCAAACAAAAATAAGACTGCCTCTGTCCTTATGGTCTTTATATTCTAGCAGGGAACATTAATCAAATAATTAGGCACACAAATAAATTTAGCCAACAAGTGTATAGTTAATGCAAGAGTCTAAGAGGCGAAGAGAATTTACAAGAGGGCAACCTGACCTAGTCTGGGGCAAGGAAAAAGTCCTGAGAAGTGGTGCTCTGGACTGATATCTGAAGGACGAGTGGGAGTTGCCTAGGAAAGATAGACTATACAAGTTCAAGAGCCCTGAAGTGAGAGGAAACATGGTATGTATGCAGAGAGTGCAGAAAAGAGGAGAAAGTATAATGTGAGGTTGGAGAGGAAAATTAGAGGCTAGGCCATAAATAAATCAAGAACTACTTGCAGATGAAACTGGAAGGATGTGGTGAAGCGAGTGGAAATGAGTATAAGGGAAAGAAATATATTATACACTACTCCAAGATTTTGAGTATCTGCTAAAGTAGTAGGAAAGAAATGGACCATTTTAAACTATAGGAGATAGAATTCAAAAAACACTTTGTACAATAGTTAACTAATTGGCAAATGGTAAGAAAGAAACGTCATAGACAATAGTAAATTTCTGGCTTAGGCTATGAGTAGATGTATCATTCGAAAATAGGGAATGTTGGGAGACTGAGTATTTATGGAAGTGTACATGAGAATGAATTCAATTTTAAGTAAATAATGGGTTGGGGTGTCTGTAGCCAGTAGAATAAACACAGGTCTAGTTTCTGGAGACAGAGCTAACCTGGAAAATGATTATACTTCTATATTTCTCTACACTTACTGGCTGCTTGCTATAAGAAAAGCATTGTACTAAATGTTTTAAATGATTTCATTTACTTAAAAGTGTAAAAAATTTGTTTTTAAATACCACTTTTTAAAAAGGCGTGGGGCAGCCAAATGGCTCAGTTGGCTAAGAGTTGGCATGGGACCACGAGCTCTGAGGAGCAGGGCCGCCGGTCCAGTTCCCACATGAGCCAGTGATGCTGCTCTATCCACAGATAAGATGGTGAACAATAGCTCAACTTGAAGCTAGGCTGCCGTGAGCTGCTGTCCAATGGCCGGCGACAGACTGCCTCAGCCAGGAAGAACACAATGATCATAATACCAACATGGGCCAGTGAAGCGACATCCTCCACAACTAGACTGAAGAACAAAAGAACAGCAACTTGTCTGTTCCCTTTCCCCGATTACCCAATGCTGTTCCCCTCCCCCAATTCCCCAATAAAATCTTTAAAAACAAAATTTAAAAAGTAAAAAGGAAATGAGTGGCTCAGTTGGTGAAGAGCGCAAGCTTTGAGCAATAGGGTTGCTGGTTTGATTACCACATGGGCCAGTGAGCTGCGCCAGAGCTGAGCTGCCAACAGGCAGCAGGATGGCTCAGCTGGTGAGAGCACGTGCTCCTAACAACAAGGTTCCCCGTTCAACTCCTACATGGGATGATGGGCTATACCCACCCACAACTAAGATTGAAAAAGGCACCTTGAGCTGAGCAGCCATGGGCTACTAATGGGTGGCCGGATGGCAACTGGACTTGGAGCTGAGCTAGCTGCACCCTCCACAACTAAGACTGACGGACAACAACTTGGCTGTTCCCCTTCCCCAATTCCCCAATAAAAATCTTTAAAAAAAGGAAACATGGTCACAGAAACATGAAGTGACTTGCTCAAGGTTACACAGCTAGTAAGTAACACAACGGGATTTAAACCCTGATCTGTCTGACTCCAAAATCTGTGCTATTAATCAGTATGCTCAGGAAGAATATGTTGGGTAAGAACAAAGAAGTACAGAGATTAGAACTCTGAGAAATGCCAATATTTGAAGCACAAGACCTCAACAAAACTGGGAAAGATTAGCTAGAGGAGAAGGAAGAAAACCTGTGCAATATCATGGAACCCAAATTAAATGTTTCAAGAAAGAAAACATTCTATTATTTTTTTAAATAATCATAAACAAACATACTTTAAATAAGTTGGACAGTTTTTTATAATAAATTTTTCAAATTCACTTAAAAAATTTGATACAACACTGATTTTTTTTCTTCTTGAGAACTAGTCATAACAGGGACATAATACATTCATGAAACCAGTGATGGTACCAGGTCTGTAACTTACAAATAAATTTTTTCCAAAAGTGTGTGTGTGTGTGTGTGTGTGTGTGTGCGCGCGCGCGCGCGTGCATGCACATTTAATTGTTTAGAATTAAGAAGGTATTTTCTGTTAAAAACTAACCTAAAGAAAAAAATTAAATTAAAATTTAAATATAAAATTAAGAAACTAATCATTAGTTTTCTCGTTATCCATAAAATCCCATATCACCCAAAATGACATGCTACTAATTTTTACCTAAATAGCAAACCAGCGGAGGAGTAATTGCATTACTCGGAATCACAGAAACTGATTATCATCCAATAAGGGGAATTCTCACCCAGCCTTTGCAGCAAGGCAATTCCTGCCTATGAGATAAAATAATAGCTTCTGTAAGACAGTTGCTGCTGAGTGCTCTAAAGCAATGAAAGGAAAGTAAATCAACTACCTTCCAACACTATTCAGAGTCTGTTTATACTGGATACAAAGCTAAATCTACAATTAGTTAAAATGACACTGATAGGGCCAGCCAAGTGGCTTAGTTGGTTAAAAGCTTGCTCAAGAGTGCGAGCTCTGAGCAACAAGGTCACCAGTTCGATTCCCAGCCCAAGCTGAGCTGCCACTGAGCTGCCAACAGGTGGAAGGATGGCTCAGCTAAAAAAAAAATTAATAAATACAAAAAGGGCCGACTGAGTGGCTCAGTTGGTTAAGAGCTTGCTCAAGAGTTTGAGCTCTGAGCAACGGCGGTTCGATGCCCGGCCTGAGCTAAGCTGCCACTGAGCTGCCAACATGTGGCAGGATAGCTCAGCTAAAAAAAAAAACAAAACACACTGGTGAAGGTAGTGACAGCATAGTCTTTAAATCTCCAGTTCCCATATAGAAATAGACATGAAAATAAGGATAACAAAATTAAAAATTCATAGAGAACATCTATGACAAAACTAAGTGACAAGGTATTTTCATGATTTCTAAAACATGAGCAAGTAGAGACAAGACCTGTGTATAGGGGGAATTTACTGGTCCTAAGAACAGATACTTCCTGGGAAATATAATGGGCCAATTTGAGATTAGCAGCTGAAACTAGAAGAGTTTTTGCACATTCATGGGTGATTGTGAGGAGCCAGAGGTAGGGTCTGAAAGAGGATGGAGCAGCCTGGATCCTATAAGAACTTTCAAAACAAAAAGCCAATGCATCCTTGCCAAGACAAAGCCCCACACTAAGGAGAAACTGTTGGACCTAGAATCCAAACTGAGGCTGCCAGGGATAATAGAAGCACAAAAAGAAAAAAAGAGAGAGAGAAAAGCTCCAGATAGAAAAAGACAGCCAGAGCTCACAAACTGGGAGGCCTTTTTTTAAAAAATTACCTTTATTGATATATAATTTACAGATTGAATTCTTGAACACTAACAAAAATTACCAAAAAAGCAGCTCTAGAGCTACGAAGCAGAAAACTACGCTGACCCACACTTCCCCATCTAAAGTTCAGAAAGATTAATTACATCTAAAAATGAACAAAAGAAAAGGTCACAATTAAATCCCATAAAATAATTAGGAGGAGGGGGAAAAAAAGAAAAAGCAGAATAGTAGCCCCACAAATGATGAAAGAGGTCTAGAAAGGCATGCACACACAACAGATGAAAACTATAGCATATTTCTGAATGAGCTAAAAGAAATTTTTTAAATGATATATGAAAGAACAATAAATAGCAAAATGAGAAAAATTAAGAAATGAGGTGAAATGACTAAAAAAAATAGAAAAGATACTTTTCACAAATAAAGACTACACTGGAAAGAATAGAAGTTTGAGTAAAACACAATAGATGATGCTTAAAAATCAGAAATTCTGAAACTTGAAGAAAAAGATGAAAAGGATTTGAGATAAAGTGACAAAGGAGGAAAAAAGAGGCAGCATACATATAATAAGAGTCCCTAAAGAAAAACTCCAAAGCAATCAGACAAACCAAATAACAAAAATTTGTAACTCAAAAACATTTTGCTGAAATTAAGAATATATTTGATACTACAATTTGAACATGTACACTGTACCCAGAAAAAGTGACCAAGAACACCACCAAACTATATTCTAGTATAACTACTGATTTTTAAAGAATAAAGTCTTTCGCATTCAGGAAAAAGATCAAATCACTTATAGAGAAAAAAAAAATCAGACTGGCATCAGACATTTTATAGTATGCTTTATTCCAAAAACAATAGAAAAACATATTTATGATATTGAAGGAAAGAAATGTGAACCAAGAATTTTATATCTAGCCAAAATGATTTTCAGGTATAAAATTACTATTATCAACAGGCAATATTTCCACGAGCCCATCCTCAGGAATCTACTAGATAACAAGTCACAGACAGCAAAAATGACTAGAGACATTGACATAAGGACTGATGGCATTATTATCAATCAATGTTAACATCACAAAAAGAGGAAGAACTAGACATTATATACCTCCTGAAGGAAGTACACCATCTATGAAATACTTTGCTCTAAATAAACACATCTGAATTTTCAGGAAATATGGAAGACAGAGGAACATGTTAAATGATACCATAGGGAAGCAACACACTCTAGATTCTGGAAACTTGGTTTTTCAAACAACAACGATAAGCCAAAAATAGAAAGAGGAATCCATATCTTAAAGAGATTTAATGAAATCACGCAACGTATCAATCTTATTTGGATCCAGAGTCAAGAAAAAAAAAACTATAAAAAGAAAAACAAAGCATTTATGAGGTAATTGAGAATCTGAACACTAACTGATATTTCAAGATATTACTGTTAAATTTTTTAAATGCAGTAACAGTATTGAGGGATTTTTTAAAATAATCATTTTCATTTAGAGACACATACCCAAATATTTATGGACGTAATAATGTTATCTATGGTTTGCATCAAAAAAATTCAGAAGCAGGAGGTGGGTGGGCATTTGGCGGAAATGATTGTTGCAGCTCGAGAATGAATATGTAGGGGGGGTTCATTACACTGTCAACTTTTGTATATGTTTGAAATTTTCTACAATAAAAAGTTAAAAGAAAAAAAGACATGTGGACTTAGTATTCTGATCCATTCATTCAATAAATATTTGTGATTCATTTTACAACACAATTCTAAAATAGAAACTCACTCTGTTTCAACCTCTATATTTTCACGATCACATCTGTAAAATCTTGAAAAATTTTATAAGAATGGATAGAATTCCATCCTGACTTAACAGATCATGAGAGGCTGGCTCTAATTTCTTTCTGAATTAGACTCAATTCTAAAAATGACTATCAAAACTGGTCCACAAAGGACACTGTGATTTTTTTTGTTTAGTGACTCATCCTTATAGTCTCAATCAGTGAAAGCATCAAAACAGACTTACCTGTTTTATGTGCGGATTCATGGCCATTTCAGTTACATTCTTTTTGGTCTCACAGAAAATAATAGCCCTCCCTTCAGACCCACTGTAGACTTGAAGGACATCTCCAATAACTGCTGGCCTCTGAGACCAATGGCACTGGATAGCCAAATGCTTTGAAGAAAAAAAAAAGCCAAATATCTGTTTCATTAAAAGTAGTAAAAAAAGACTTCTTTGTACATTTTTACTATCTGTTCAAGAATTGGCTTTCCTTGGGCCGGCCGAGTGGCGCGATGGTTAAGAACTGGCTTGGGACACCAGAGGGCCCCAGTTCGGATCCCACATATGAGGGCCAGTGACACTGCCCTCTACAGCTATGATGCTGAACAACAGCTCAACCTGGAGCTGGGATGCTGTGAGTCGCCAGCGATGGCACAGGCTGCAACACCTGCTGCAGTGGGTTGCCATGGACTACCCTGTATAGACAGCAGCCAGCGTGAGTGGTGAGCAGCCGTCCAGAAGCCAGCAACTGATCTGCCTCACCTGGGAAGAGCGCAATGATGGTGCCAACTTGGGCCAGTGAAGCAACGTCCTCCACAACTAGACTGAAGAA